TGAATTCGGTGTGAATGTCGTTTTGTGCGTACATGACGTATAATTATTTTATTGATTTCGATTGTTTTACAATACACTGCAGTTCGGTTCCTTTGTTTCGCAAATAGATATAATATAATATGGTATTAGTATTATAGTATTTACAGCTTATAATAATCAAGCTGCTAATTATAGTAATTCATAATTGAGTTGTTAAAATGTAACAAGTATTATATTCAATGTTTAGTATTTATTCGGTTTAATATAATATTTCGGACGGAATTGTATAATATTTGTACCAAATGCTAATCGTATGCTAATTGCTTTAGATAAACTCGCAATAGGTACCTATGTACACTATAGTACACTACCTATTCATATATGCGTGTTCATGAATAATTTCCTAATTATATTCATGTATTAAATTTAGATCACTAATGGCGAGCTTTCGTCATAATATTCTAAAACATATCTATTGTATAACAGTGCACGACCGGCAGGACTTTATTCAGATTGATAATTTGTCGTTTTTAAACCCAGTTAATGAATAATTTCAGTAATTGTTTGCGTAAGTCATTTAAAGAATATCAAATACCGTCAAAGCTATTTATAATTACAATCATTTAGTCGATTATAATATAGTCTTAATAGATAATTTATATTTTTTTTTTTTGTATTTCCGTCTTAGCGACACGACGCGCAACGGTTATAGCTGACTATAATATAAAACATCTGGAAGTAAAAAAATAACATTAAAATGTAGGTATGTACGTTAATGAAAGTTCAGCATAAAACCAATTTGATATAATATTCTTAATGTAATAAATGTATTGTATATCAATTCTTAAATTGTTATTGTTTTAATTGTGTTATATTTGTGTTACACGTTGGCATATTATCGTATGTAAACCAAAAAAAATTAAAATAATAAATGTATGTTTTATACTAAAAGTCCTGAGTCAATTGATAAAATATCGATACACATAGTGTGTAAATATTCGTTGAAGAGTGTTTACAAGTATATAATATGTGTTTCAGCGTGTTTTATAATGTATAAATTATAAATGCGTGTAGTGTATACAGCACTGATGTACATATGGGTGGCCTATGTAATATTTTGTAGGGGAAAAATATTTTCAACCGATTATTTTTTTGTTCGTCTTTGTATATTTTCTTTATCACGCGTATTCTCGAGATCATGTAGACAATACATTTATCGCAAAACAAGTTTATTTATATTTCTTTACTTATTCTCGGATGTTTTAATTAACTTGTTTTTTATCCTATTTATTGGTACCTTCATCTTTGAAATTCAATTAATCTACAACTGATAACTAATCAAAATAAAAAGTATTTTATGAATATGTACATCAATCAATAAACCTACTCGTGTTTGACAGTTTTTAAGTGTTTTAAGCTCGTGTATCATACCTATTTCTACAATAATTGTAATGATCAGAGTTTTAAAATTATTTATCTTCATTTTTCAGTTTTCCTCCGTGGCCAACATTGTGATCCATACAAATGGTCGTATGTGATTGTTATATTTATAATATATAGGTGTATGTGTACTATATACTTGTGCTTATATCGAGAGTGCTCTTGAACTTAATAGTTTGCCTAGGGCATATAGAAGCGTTCGTTTTCCATTTGTATTCTCTCTCGAATTTCGAATCGAATGTCATTTCGTATGTGTACCGCGACCATTGTGCCCAGAATCCAGATACTCGAACCTTGGTACTTTCTTGGGTTCGTATATTGATCTACATCATATATAGGGTGTCTGGACTCTCGAGTGAATAGTGTGTTGTCTTCTCTTTTACTTACCACTTACGCACATAATACAATCTATTATATATAAGTGCGCATAGCAATATAATATTGTCATTATCTCGTGCTCACATATCATGTAGTGTACCTACATATTTAATATAAACTAAAATTATATATTATTTTTATTTCGGGTGTGGATGATACACGTTTCGCGCACGTTTTAATGTTACCATCGTGGAACTTTACACGGGAGCCTACCCTCCACCGCCGATCACATATTATATACGACATGGTTGAAATATACATGGTTATTGCATATATACCCCTTATCAATCAAATATTTGATGATAAAAACAAAAATGGCAGAGTAAAGGGAGCCAATAATAATCAAGTATGTAAGCTCGGGATTTTGAATTTGTTGGTTTTTTCGGCGTATTTCTGATTATAAGAAAAATTGATATTTGTGTTATCCCTATACGCAGCCATTTTGTTTCTTATGATAACAATCCTAGTCGATATGAAATAACCTGTATAATTCAACCTTGATAGACGACACGAATCGGAAACTGTCACTGTCATTTGTATGTATATTTCATGTATTATATTATATTGTGCAATACATAATATTATCTATACACCGTCGGACGTGCAGTGTGTTAAACTATCGCGTGATGATCGGAGTGGGTATAGTTGTGGGGCTGGCGAGTGGGTACGTCGGCATATTATACTATACCTATACAATTTTAGCTGCGCGCGCCGATAAAACATATATATTATATAATATGTAATAAATCGAACGCTTGGAAACGCGTGCAGGTATTATAATATATGTATGTACGCATACTGTATATATTATATAGTGGGTGCTCGGGGCGGTACTCTTTCGATCGCGAGTTTTCTTTTTCAGCTGTCCGTCACATATTGCGAGTGTGTATATATATTCTAAAACCTCCCCGCCGCCTCCCATTTATATGTACGTGGTATATATTAAATATATATATATACTGTACTATATATAGGTACCTTTTCGAAGTTGCGATCGTCGCACTGAAAACGACGGTGGTATAAGTGTTTTTCGCGCATCCATCCACCCCCCGAACCCTGAGCTAGTTCCGTTTGGGGAGTGTCGGTCAATGTTGGGGGTGAATGGGGGTGGCGTGGTGGATTGGTCTTACACCATGTGTCCCGACCCTTGTCCCGTCCGGTCGGTCACTTTTGGTTTCCTACATTATATGCTCCTGCTGCAGTATTCCCAAATTGGTGAAGGGCCGCGTCCCTCAGCTATTCGTGTATGTACATATTATGCGATGAACTCGCGGTGCTTTTCCAAAATTCCATCACCAGATAACCGAAATTAGTTAGAGAAATATAAATCATAGGCGGCCCGCGGGAGGGAAATATCTGGACCGCCAAGAATATTTTTTTTAATGCTGTTTTCTGCACATAATAGATATTTGATCTATTTTTATGTTGTATTTTGGCTCCCCATATACATACTTCGTTCTCTAAAATTACGTTTTCAAAGAATAAAATATATATCGTTATTATTAAAGATCAACCGATATTCACCTTGAAAACACTGCGCATAGTTGTTGTTCTCCATTTCTCCAAGATTACCAAATTAAAGAAAAAACTGACTTGTATTATATTATTTTATTGAATAATTTGCTTTAAACAGCTTGAACTGTAAATAAACACATAAGGTATATTAACTGATACTTAAGTTTTTTCTGGCCCCTGAACATTTTTTGTTCAAATTATCTGGACCGCCATATAATTTAATTGCCGACTCCTGTTATAGAGCATCTCAAACAGAGATTTTATTTATGATATATTTCGTTCTCTCGAGTTTATAGCGAATGAAATGTCTGGCCACTTCCCTGGATAGTACATCGAGTTTTCCCGTTTTACTGTTATGTCATCCTTTGGTAATAGGAAATTTGGTTGTCCACAGAGTATAAATTTATAAGTGTGAACATCATATTATGAACATTAACCAACAATGATTATGAACCATAATCATGACCACGCCTGTTGTAGAGGGGGGTTGTGAAGGTAAAGAAAAGAACGCCTATGTCTGATGTGTGCAGCTATTATTTTTCCCAGATATTTTTTACCCTAAAAAGAAATAACGGTATGCTGGTGGCGCCTAGGGGGTTAGTAGGTATGTGGCTAAGACATTGGGTCAGGGATGAAACGATAAATATTGTATATACGACGCGTTCGCATAATTTAGCGATCGGTTTGATGATTTTATCATTTATTCATTCGCGCGGGGACGTAGTGCATAACAATATATTTAAATTATAATACACCTACGCACGATATTTATATTTTATACGACCAGCGTATGCGTGTTCACTATTCCGAGGTATTCCCTCGTAAATTCAGTGTCCATATAATAATAATAATAATAATAATATAATACCTACGTTCCGAATAAACGTTCGGTGATGCCGCATGGGGATGAGGGGACGAGCACCAAAAATATATTTTTGTACAGCTCGGTATATTATTTTAAAATGAAACGTACCACCGAGTAAAATTAACTTGAGTCGAGTATGAGTAGGTAATATGAACTCCAATTTTACACATCCAAAACAAACGTTTGTTGTTTTGACGTTCGACGCTTTTATATGTAGCCGTCAATGCCGGCCAGAGCACTATAGCTGGTCCTCTTCAACTGTCATATCGCACACACTCCTACACGTTAAGGGGTAACCTCCAAGCAACCAAAACAATCAGTAGGCATGTGTAGTGGGTGGGGGGAAGGTTATTTCTGCTGGCAAGGTGAATAGTGGATGGTAATAAGTTCCGTTTGCTGCAGGCCTCATTATTTTAACACGCGTCGAATTCTACTTTCTGTTCTATATATATATATATACGTTGAGGGATCTATGGGTATACGTATAGATACCATATACAGTATGTACATAAATAATAAATACATAATATATAGGGATACGATATAATCTCCTCGACTCTCCCCCTTCACCAGTGCCGCAACTAAGTTATTTAGGGCCCCAGGGCAAAATTTAATTTCGGGCCCTATAACTATAGGGGGTACATAATAACATAAAATGCTGCTATACATTTTTTTTTTGATAAAATTAAAAGGCATGATAAATGATTATTATTTTGTATATCTTTTTTATTCTATGTTTTTGTGGAAATAATATCTGTATTTATATAATTTATTTTATATATTTAAATAATTTTAATAAACTTAACAATACATTAATTCATAATTAATCAAATTTCATTTTTCTTGCTTTCATATTTGAAAAATTTGTTAATATTTTGTCCATATCAATTTCTTTTGTACGGCGCTGTTCAATATTTAAAACTGAAATATTAGACAGTCGTTCTTGTCCAATGGAATTCCTTAAATAACTTTTTATTATCTTAAGTTTTGAAAAAGACCTTTCTGCTGTTGCAACCGTTACTGGCAATGTCAAATAAATTATACATGCTCCTAATATATCAGAGTAACTCGTAGCAAAATCGTTTTCGAGAATAAATGAAGCCAGTGCTTGGATACTATTCAAATTTTTATTTTTTATAATTTCTTTGATTGATAGCAATTGACTCGTTAAATCAGAACTAATATCTGATTGATACATTTGTATAAAGTCATATGATCCTTTAATAGTAATTTCATCTGGTCCTAAAAGTGTTTGAGGTTTCAAAAAATTGAAAATGGTACAAACGTTATGTAAACCTTTAAAGCGATCTTTAAGTTGACATATTATTGTGTCAACAATTGGTAAAAATACTTTTATTTTAAAATTATCTTGTGTGATATTCATCCGTCTGTCGCCATCTATTTCATCAAAAAACAATCTTGCTTTTTTTTGGCGAGCCACTTTGTCATCAGTTGGAATACCCCATTTAATTGCCAGGTTGCTTGCATTTTCAACTATACTACAATAGTCATTCCTAAGTTGCTGCATACAAGTATAGGCATCAGTCAATCTATCTAATGCTTTCTGGAGGTCAATGTCTTGTTTCTGCAAAAGTTTAGAGATACCATGCAAAGGACGCAATACTCGTTCCCACAAACATAACATCAGTAAAAATTCAAAAGATTCTATTTTTTTTTTAATTGAAATTGCCATATGTTTTTCATCTACTTTATTACTTGATAAACTCATGTATGTTAATGATTTTATAACTCCTATATACCTTTGTTTTAATGCAGATACTGATGAATGCCTAGCCTCCCAGCGAGTAGGACAAACTTTTTTTAATACTTTAAGTCTAATTGTTTTGGCAGTGTCATCACCAAATGCAAGTGATGCCCATCTAGGACAACTAGAACTAAAAAAATTGAATATAGTTTGTAATGTTGTAAAAAAGTTAGTTGCAACTTGCGTCGATTTTGCTGCATCACAAATCACCAAGTTAAGGTTATGTGCGCAGCAGTGTACATAATGTGCATTTGACACAGTAGAAGATATTCTTTGTTGCACTCCTGAATAAGCTCCACTCATTACTGCTGCACCATCATAACCCTGGCCTCGACAATTTTGGATGTCTAAATTGTATTTTTTCAACACGTCATAAATAAGATTTTCATAGTCCTTTGAGCCATGGTTCTCTAATTCAAAAAACCCAAAAAAAGATTCTTTTACTTCAAATGATTTTGTTTCGTAGTTTAAAACAACATAACGCAGTATAACACTCAATTGATCAATTTTTGTTATATCTTGTGTCGAATCTACTATTATTGAATAATATTTAGATCTTTTTACTTCGTTTGCTAATATATTTAATACTTCTGAGGATAATAAATGAATTAATTCATTTTGAATTTTCCAACTCAGGTATTTTATTTTATTATTTTCATTATTCAACAGATCATTTAAAACTGGATCAAAATCTGCCATTAGCCTTACAGTTCTCATAAAGTTTCCTTCTGTATTATTTATTTTAGTTTTACTGTTTTCATTTCCTCGGAGAGCAGTATTCCCCGCAGTTAAAAATAAAATAATTTTTACTAATCTAATTAAAACACTTCTCCAAAAACTAGCTTCTTTAATAATTTTATCTTCCATATGTTTGTCTATAGTTTCGTTTTTTAACCAACGTACTCGGACTTCAGTGGCTTGAATATGTTGTTGAGAAATTTCATGTGTTCCAATTTTTTCTCCAATATGGTGCCAATCATTAATTCCTAATATCCAATTTATTTTAAAATTTCTATTTTGCCTATCAGCGAAAAGCCAACATATTTCACAGTATGCACAATCTAAAATGACTGAATAGCATAACCATATTCTGGGTATACATAGTCCTGTATTTGTAGTTTTGTGATAATACTGTACTGAAAAACGTCTAAGGATACCTTTTCCATCAGGGCTGTACGGAAATTCTATGTTGATTGGTTTACACGGTCCATGCAATAAAATACTTCTCTTCAAATCAGATTTTACAGTCTCAAACTCTGTAAAATGTCCACGGTCAGTTGGATAATCATTTGTTAAATCTAAACCTATAAATAAAACAAAATTTACTATACATATTATAAGGTAGGTAATGAATATCAAAATTGTTGAACTGTTTAAAAGCTATATGAATATCTTTTTACATTTAATATCACTTGAAATAGATGTAATTATTATGATTTTTAATTTATTCAGTTTAGTTTAAGTTTTAAGAAAACTATAATTTGAGAAATATATTTCACCTGGTTTATAAAATATGCCTGATTCATTATCATCACAATTCTCAGGCGATTCCACTTCATTATTGTCATTCATTATTTGACTAATTAAGTTGTTGGAACAGTTATCAACTAAAAGCAAAAAATTACTTTATGAAATAGGAATAAATAAAATGTTCATTAAAATGTATAATATTATGAACAATTATTATATACCTAGGTGTAGCATTGGTATAATATAATAAATTAAATAACATAGCTAATCTTCATACGATATGTGTTTAGTATAGTTTACATTTTTACATTTTAATAATTGTAAAAAGTTTAATTTAGGTACGTACCTGGTTTATCAAATATGCCTGGCTCAGTACCATCACAAGTCTCAGACAATTCCACTTCATTATTTTCATTCATTATTTGACTAATTAAGTTGGTGGAACAGTTATCAACTAAAAGCAAAAAAAAATTACTTTATGAAATAGGTACAAATCAAATGTTCATTAAAATGAATAATAATATGAACAATTATTATATAGGTGTACCATTGGTATAATATAATAAATTAAATAACAAAGCTAATCTTCATACGATATGTGTTTAGTATAGTTTACATTTTACATTTTAATAATTGTGAAAAGTTTAATTTAGGTAGGTACCTACCTGGTTTATCAAATATGCCTGGCTCAGTATCATCAAATATCTCAGACGATTCCACTTCATTATTTTCATTCATTATTTGACTAATTAAGTTGGTGGAAGAGTTATCGACTAAAAGCAAAAAAATAAAAAAATAAAATAAAATACAATAAATTAAAATGTTCATAACAATTTATACTAATAATATAATGAACAAGTGAACAGCTAGTTTAGGCACCTACACAGGTATATCAATATAATAAATTAAACAACAAATGGAAATTGCAAATTATAAACAAAAAAAGTATGATAAAATTATACTTAAATCACGAACTAAGTAATAAAATATCAACATAATTATAAATTATTCTACCTATTAAATATGATGTGCTTATCCTCATAGTTTTTTGTATAGGTAGTTTACATTTTTACGTTTTAATAATTCTGAAAAGTTTAATTTAGGTTCCTACCTGGTTTATCAAATATGTTTGGCACAATATCATGACTAGTCCCAGACGATTCCACATCAGTATTGTCATTTGTTTTATTCATAACATTAGCACGCTTGTCAACTAAAATATTAAAAAAAATATCACATATTCACATCATATTATTTATAGATGTGCAGAATGTAATGTTATAACTAGGTAAAATGTAAATGTGTAAATAGTAAACTAAGTTTTTTGTAAACAACCATCATTTTAAGAAAATCTTAACTTCAGGAATCTTAACAACCACCCAGTATTTAATTATATATATTTACCACTTACCAGCATTATCCAAATTGTTTTTTACTACAAACATATTTAATGAACCTCTCAATTTCTTTATTTCTTCATCTTTTTTTATTTTCATTTTCCTTTTTGCTGAACCACTGGGATATTTTGGCATTATAAATAATATTAAAATCACTTATAAGTCAAGTATTAAAGTATTAACACCAATGGGCAATGATTAATAAAAGTATTTATTTATTAGCAATGAAAAGTGAAAATTAAAAGTACCTTGTAGTAACTTCGTAATTTATTATAAATGTGAAATAATTTAATATACATAGACTATAGAGGCATAAGCTGTAAAGATTATTGCCTATTGGCTATTGGTGAATTATTATTTTGTATGTAGGTACCTAAATGTAAACAAAAGAGATATTTTATATTCTATTTTTATTTTTCACTTTTGTGGTACTTACTTTGGTTTATAAGACAAACTGAGTATTCAGTGTAGCCAATTCCAAGATGATCGGTGATTTTTTCATCATTAATCTTTTATCACAGAATAAATCTATGAAATTAAATTGACTTGCCACCTTAGATCATATACAATGATCAAAGTCCGGCGTAGTTACATCACCTACATAATACTTACGTGGCTTTCGCTTTCGTTTAGGAGTATCTAAAATTAAACCATATTAATTATATAATCGTATATAGTAATTTTAAATAATAAACCAGTTTTTTGTTCATATATCTATAACTAGTATTAGTACATAGTATAAGGTATATGAATATATTACATAGTTATCTTACATTAAAATTGAACATCAATAAAAATTTGTTTACGACGTACCATACATTTGGGAAGTTTCACAGTTGTAAGCGGTTTCCATTTCACAGTTTGAAACGGATTCTATTTCATAGTTTGAAACAGTTTCCATTTCATAGTTTGAAACGGTTTCCATTTCACAGTTGTAAGCGGTTTCCATTTCACAGTTGTAAGCAGTTTCAATTTCACAGTTTGAAACGGTTTCTATTTCATAGTTTGAAACGGTTTCAAATTTCACAGTTGAAACAGCCTGATCGTCAATTTGATAAATCACCTCGGGAGAAGACATCTCTGGCATATTCTTACGAGAGCTCCTATACTTATTGATTTTACTTTAAAATATTTATTTAAATATCATAATATAATTTAACATACGTTGATATAAAAAATTCTTTTGAATGTTTGTTAAACTTTGTGGGAACTGAATTCGGTTTTAAAATGTTCAAAGTAGTCCCAGTTTTAAAGCAATCTTGGTCGAAATGTTGTGAACATAGTTTTCTAGAAGGCTTATAATCATCTTCAGTTAAACCACAAGCTGTAAGCCACAAAGATCGCCGGGATTGATCTTTGGGGAACCTAAACAATCAATATAAATTAAAAAAACCAAATATTTCATGTGATTAAATATATTATTAACAATTTTAAAAGAACATAAAATAATGCAATATGTATTTTAGAAAAGGTTTACGACTTACGAGTGTAAAGAGATGCTTGGATTTTTGTATTGCGTACTCAAACAAAATACACATGCAATAGTACATTTTTTTGGTGCCATTATCCCAAAAACAATTTTATAAATTAAAATAAAACAATAGAGTTAAAATAACTAACGTCAATGACTGGTCATTCCAAAATTATTGTTGGAAAATTGGAATTCGAAATTCAAAATTATAATTTAATCTTATCAGTTCATATATTTTATCATATCATTGGGAAAAATATGCGACAGGTCTCGATCGCGCATTCGCGCATGCGCAGAAAGGTACAGACAACTGGCGACTTGTCGCTAACATGTACATCAACATATTGAGCTGTGGCTCCATCCATTGTATATGATCTAAGCTTGCCACCAAAGACTTTATACTACTACGGCTATAGATAGTACTATATACTAATATACTATCTTTAATCGTGCTTATACCATGGATTTTTACCGCATTATTACTAGTCGATTATGAACTCCTTAATATTTAATATTTAAAATAATTAAATTCAAAATACATTTTTACAAAATCAAAACCTAGGAAAAATAATAATAGTATCCATCCATTATGGGCCCCCTTTGAAAAATAAATTTGGGCCCTTTAGCAGGGCTTTGCCCTGCTTGCCCTGGTGGTAGTTGCGGCACTGCCCTTCACCGTCTTCCATCTACCCACTGACAATAATCACGTGTTTTCACGTCGTTCGGAAGGTTCTTTTGGTTTTGCGGAGCCCCGGCCGCGGTGAATAATAATATGTATTTATTCGAGAAAAATACGTACTCGCTTCTGCTCATCCTTCCCCCCCCCCCAGGTACTTTCGTCTGTTTTCCCGCTGATATTTCTATACAGAAAATGCCTTCTGATCTGATGCACGTATATAAACTGCGTGTACGAGATCAAACATCCCTGTGTAGTGTATGTACATATTATTATTATACTTGTTCCGCAGTCTTACGGTAAACCGTTGTAAATTTGGTGGTATTTCTGGAAAACAAGAGGGGTAGTTGAGCATTACTGAAGCGCATATTGTATAAACAAAACACGCCATATTATTTAGAATAACATGTATCAAAAATATTTTCGTACGCTGTACTAGAGGTATATTTTTTGTCGTGAACGCGGTACAGTTTAAAGTTAAGTAGGTAGTTGGACTTTTTTTTATTTTTTAAATTTAAAAACACTTAAAGACATTGCGTTTCATACTCGCTGTAATTACTTATTATGATATACGCGTTGAATTTTCGTACAAGTTCTAACGAATATATTAAACACTTTTTCAACGATCTTTTGAACATTCATAAATATTCCTACTTAAGAATTAAATTAACGTCAAAATAAATAAGTAATTTAAAATAATGATAATGTAATTGATTTATGTTGCAAAGTATTTAATTATTGTAATGGAATGTGTTTCTTATCAATTTAAAAAGGTTTTATTACCATAAAAATAACTTTAAGCTTAAAAAAATATATAACTTCAGTAATCAAATATATATCAAAGTGTATTAAAAATTCAATTTAGATCCTTAGTTGATTGCGTAAAAATATGAATATGTAAATTTTTACCGACTAACGAGATGTACATTTTTATATTACACAATGCTATAGCGATATTCATGTGATAGTATATTATAAATTAAAATGTTTATCATATCCTATTTAAGGCTACACAAATATTCACTTTACTTAATGACCAAAATACTTAATGTCATTCATTTCAATTGGTATATATAACATTTTTTTCAAGTGAAATTAATTTTTTATCTCATTTTGTTTTTAATTATCTTTTATCTAAAATAAAATAAAATTTTTGTTTTAGTTGACTCCCCAACGAACAATAAATTATGATATTACAAAATAATTTAAAAACAAATCATAATATCTCAACTTAGACGCATAATATATTATTATGACATTATGTAGAATGTAGATTGTAGATATAATATTTTTAATATTTTTGTAGAAATAAAAACTATTATGATTTCTTAAATTACGTTAATAAAAATCATCATTCAATTACTATTTAAACTTTAACAATTTTTTTCATTTGGGTTTTTTATTTATTATTGTATTTAAATTATTGTTAATACATTATTACTGACATACTTAGTGGTAACTAATAACTATAGTAAGACAAATAAAGTCGTACGACTCTATAACTAAAGCAATACAACGTTTGGGTAACATAATATTTTTTAAATAATACTACGTTTGGGTACCAACGTTTAGGTGCACATTTTTTACAAATATACTTTTACATTTTATTTTTTAGAGCCTATTGGCGTTACCCAGGAGACACCACGAGGAGGTTGGCTCTTAATAGTCCCCTAAAAATATTTATTATTTATTTTTCACTTTTAATATTTTAATTATTTTATTAAAATAAAATATTAAGTATTCGTATAATAATATTATATTAATATTATATATTCGTAGTCGCGTATATTACGATAATAATCAAAATAATGTAAGTAATTGATATTAATTGGTTTGGAGGTAAAGTATATGAGTATACCACTATTGTAAATCACGTGTTTATAAAGTGTACCCAAACGTGTCTTGTATAGTATGTGTACTGTGTACCCAAACGTTCTCTGATTTACCAGGTAAAATTATAAAATACCTTTTATTTTATGTGTCCAAACGTTGTGTCTATTTGTACCCAAACGTGTTGGCTTTTGGGTCAATGTGACCAAACGTTCAGCGCCCAGTAAGACGACGTACGGTGGCGTATATATAAATTAACTGTGTAATCAACTTTGAATTTCACATAAATATCGCAGGTAGATAAATGCTAAATATTATGTACATTTATATTCTATAAATAAGTATTATTAGGAGTTCGGGACGGACACTCTAAGGAAAACAACATTTCTAAAATAAGTAAAAAACATGCGATTCACTTTCGAGCAATGGTTTTCTGCTATTATAGGTAGCATAGTGCATACCTTATCAGATTTATTTTTAAAACGCAATATCTTTAAAGATTCGTGAACATCCATCAAAATCATTTAGTCATAAGATGACAGCAGCAGACTTATGCGAGGTATGACCTACAAATCTTCCCAGGCGTGAGTTTGTGTATATGTGTGTACACGCGCGATAGACTCGAGTGATGTGTATAAAAATAAAAAAAATGATATAATATATATTGTATTAAATCGAGGTATTTACTGTCTGTCTCTCTGAATACACCAACAACTATTGTAGCATTATATTATATATGTGTATAATGTATATACTATTGTAGGTACTATGTTCTTTCTCAAAAATGTATGTTCATATATAGGTACTGCGCAGTATACCAATAAATGCATTGTATGGAATATATTGTATTCAAAAATTACGGATAGGTATGACACGTAGTACTGGCCGTACTGGGTGGCTAAATTATGAATATCGAACAACGTTCTGGGATTAGAAAACATTTTTCCGAACTTGCTTGAAAGCAAATCCACAGCAATCACCGAAATTGGGGTCAAGTGGTTTTATTGCCGCATGCGCATAGAGCAGGAAGCTTTCAATTAAGGGGTACACCGGGCAAACGGTGTACGCGTGAAGCCCGTTTGATAGAAACACAATAATAGTGAAAGAGATATTTTTTACCCCAATTAATTTTAACCGGAAACATCACGTATATTATTGAGCACGTAAAAAAACCACTTGTTGTACAGCCGATAAATGTTTAACTGTAATGTTATCGTATTTTGTTGCAGACATGGGTTGTTTCGGTAGCAAAGACAAGTTGTCCAAAGAGGACATGGACTTCTTAAAATCCCACACCAGATACGACGAAGCGACCATTAAAGAATGGTACAAAGGTTTCAAAGTAAGTACCGCGTGGTTGTAATTATTATCAGTTACCACTGACGTTATTACTTATTATTGATTATATTAATTATTATTTAAATTTTACCTATAATGCACTTTTTGTCTGTATTTTATTGTCATAATACTAGATTATAAAATACTGTCGGTCACACGTTGTATGCCAAGCACGTATTCAATACCGGTGTACAGTTTGTGTCGATATTTTATGGTTACCTACCTGAAGTGAATAAACAAATAACAAAAAAAAAAAAAACACATTGTTACCTTTAATATTATATGAAGCTTTTAGATAAACCATTCTTATACGCGTTATTCTTCGTAGATTACTTATAATAATTGTCCACCGGTCACTGTCTTAGCAATAGTCTCTCGCGGTTTGACTGTATAACATCTAATAATAATCCATGTGGATCAGATAAAGACTGAACTACACAAGTTTATTCTTCATTTCGTTTTTCATTGAGTATATTTTTTCAATTACTTTTGCAAAAATCAATGTGACGACGTTTCTTTCAATTCTCTAAATTGTTCGTGCTTGTTCGTTCAACTATGTTATTTCTGGAGACTTTTGTAGTCTGATCAATAATAGTCATTTCACGTAAACCGTTTTTCCTTTTCTCACAAAGGATTCAACAAATCCCATAAGAACATACTTCTTCTATTGTTGTTCTTGTTCACAATGTCACGCAAGTCTGAATTACTCTGAAACGTAATAAAAACTTGGTTTTAGTTCATTTTGTCTACAATTTTAGATACCTATATACCTTAATATAAATAAATTAAATCGAAATCTGTACTTCAAAATATAATATCAATTGTAATTATTATATTTTATGTGCAAGTATTTATTGAACGTCAAATTAAATTTTCAAATTGTAAAGTAAAAAAATTGCTTTTATAACTTCACTATACCAAATATTTCATCGGTTTTGCCACTGTTAATTACTTTTTTTTTAATTTTGATTTTTAAACACTATACTATACCTATTAAACGTTTTGATATATTTTGAGTTCATACTTAATAAATTCCTAGAATTAATATAAGACAAAATATAAAAACTCAAATCCAAAATAGTTAAGAGATACATTTATTAGATTTAATGGAATAAAACTGTTTTGGGACCGAAAGTTGCATAAAATATAAACCATAAATGAATAAATACAAGATATCATGCAATATGCAAAATATAATAGTATATTACTAAGTACAGTGAGTATATAATAAAGTTTGGAGTTGATAAAATGTTGACTAAATAGGGTTAAAGTGTTAGTTTTCATCGTGTTCCTATAATCCTATTAACTTTAATCCTGGGTTATAAGACTGTAAGCTTATCCGTAATTAAATGTTTATCAGTTTAACTCTCATTTTTTGTTTGATTTTACCATACCCCTAGACTTACAAAAATTGTAATATCAATTTTTAAAAGGTATTAGAATTGAACACTTAAATGAATAACTTAAAATTGTAAACATATAATTTATATTATAATATATAATGTGTAATAATAATAATATGTACTATATTATTCTTCAATAATTTTCTAAATAGTTTGTTTATCTTAATAGTGAGTATCTATTGGAGACACGAGTTAAAAATATATCATGAATTCTTTTTAATGAGTTAAAGTTTTATAAGTTACTTACTGCATCTGGAGGTTTTTCCATGTTCATTAAAAAATAAACTTACCTATATAGGTATTGTACTTTATTTGGTCTTTCAGTTTTTATTAAGAATTTTTATAATTTCAAAGTTTCAAATAACTTGTAGTAGCAACTTCTACGATACATAAGATTATATTTGTTTTGGATATAAAATCTGAACTTTTGTTATTGTGTTATACATCCTTGGAACATGGTGTTTTATGGTTTAGATCATAATGTATAGAAAAGAAAAGTTTTGCTACCTTTTTTATTGTATAGTATTTTTTTTTTTAATTTGAAATCAACGAAAAGTCAGTAAATTTGTTATTGAATTTCAAGCTTTTACTATAGGTAAAATTCGAACATAGGTACTTACATTTAACATGCTTCCTTTAATAACTGAAATGGTTAGGTAGGTAGGTACATCATAAACCATACATCTACATTAAAATCGAAAAAAATATAATTTCGTATTTAAATAATAATTGTATACAAATTTTATATTTAGCTTCATGCAAATGTAACAATGTATTTACAATACTAAAAATAAATCGATAATAATCTAACATAGTTTTATAACAATTAACATGATGTTAAGTATAAAAAAAAATTCATTCATTAATATTTGTGCTGGAGCAATAAATTCAGTTTGGAAACAACTAATTCAAAGAAGATTCAACAAATCAATTATCTTTAAATCGAATTTTCACTACCTGTGTCAGGTCGTGTTTCGTGTATTTCATAGTTACAGAGTGATTCATGAAACATGCTCACCCCCATTTTTCCTTTAATAATTTATTTATTCAAATTTTGATTTTTAGAAATTTTAAACACGTTGAAAAACCATTTTTTCAAATCCTTGAATTGTTGTGTAGTACTTGTAGTTTCCTAGACTTGAGTGTCTTGTGGTGATACAAATTTTTGTTTTTAAACGAGAACCCCTCTTTTTTATTGTAAATTATTTATAGTGGATAATTTTTTTTGAAAATTTTAATGTACAAATACCTAATTAAAAATTTGATTGAGTAGTTTCTCAGTTATTAAAATATTTATACTAAAGATAATAGTCCTTAAAAATGGTTTTACAAAAATAAAAATAGATGTAATATTGGATTTAGTATTTATTATACTTCGACCATTCTTAAAAGTTGTTATTCATGTATTAATCATCACTTTAAAGTTCAAATCACAATAGCCTCAATAATTGCCTAACCCATTATCGTGGACCTATTATCCCTAGTATGCTATGTTAAATATCTCAAAACTACTCGTTTAAATGTTGATTTTAATAGATCAATTTTTTAAGAAAAAATTAGCTGCTAAATAATTCACTGTATAAAACAAGTTCTCGTTAAAAAAACAATAACAAAAAATGTCGAAATTTTAAAATTTCAATTATCTGATTTTGAATAAGTGCATTATTGAAGAAAAATTAGGGGTGAGCATGCTTTGTGAATCACTATGTATATAATATGTATTAGAAACCTGGCTTCGATTATGCATTTTTCGGAATCAAAAATACTTTGGTATAATATAATATATTATTATAATATATAAATGTATAATATTATATACTTATTTTGTTTAAATTGGTTGTAACTTATGTTTATGGATATTGAACATTTATACTTCTGGATTTGTCTAATACTTAATAATCCCCTCCCCCTCATTTAACTTGAAAACTTTAATGACCACTGGTCAGTGGTCACATTCACATAGCCAACCGACTTAGAGGACCAATAAATTGGATTTAAACGTACGCCATGCATGTAAACCATGTACATAAATCACTCCGAATTATATCTTTGGTTTAAGCAGCTTAAATCGTGAACAATATAATAATGTCATAATAAATTTTCCCCGGTTTACAATTCATGGTAATTGAATTTGTGTAATTAAGCACTATTTCAATTTTTGTTAATTACATGTAGGTACTTACATAGTTTTACTAAAATTTGTCTTATTTAATATTAGGTATTTATCTGTTTGGATTTATTCAAACCTAATTATTTACCAATGATATATTTAAATAGTAAGATAATTTATCGTGTGTAAAGAAATTAGAAAAGTAATTTTAGTGATTCTTACGTTTACAGTTAGGTCTACTTACATAATATTCTTATTCAGACCAACAAAACTATATTATCATATTATTTTAATTTAAAAGATGAGTATCAATTAGATAAATTATCAAATATGGTAATTTAATAATAATATATTACAAGTACCTATGATCTTTGTGATTATGAATTAAACAATTATTAAAATCTTTTAAATCAATGACCTTGTATTTAAAAAAACAAACTGTGTTAATATTACACTTTATACACCTAATACATATTATTCTAAAGATAACAGTCATCCTAAAAATATTAATCTATTTTAGTACATGTAAAAGCTTTTCTTAAAACTAAATTCTTATTTTGTGTAGTATTTTTTTTATCGTCGACTTTTGGCAGAGTATTCTGAATTGAATATGAACTAAGAAGTTTATGTTGTTTTTAAACTTTTTATAATTATTATTTTTTACTTAATACTTTTGTATCCTATGAAACATAACATGGCTTACTTTAAAAAAAAATATTGGAAAACATTATTATTATTATTATTATTATTATTATTATTATTAATATTATATTATATTATATACTACGTGTAAAATAATAATGAATAATACATAATTTAAATAACTTAAATGTATTTTTTCTTTTTAGATTTTCAAGTTTTCAATTATATACTATTTATTATTAAGTTACAGCAGTATGCCTATCTATTACTATCAGGGGCGTATTTAGGGGGATAGATCCCCCAAAACTTTTTTTTTACTGCTAACATTTTGATCAAAGTTTTGGTAATGACCATTAATGTTTGCTAAAAACGTATATCCCCCCAAACCAAATCCCTAATTACGCCACTGATTACTATATTATTATTTACGGTGTTATTTCCCTATTCTCTATTAATAGAAATTTAAATACGTGTAGTATGCTCTTTTTTAAAAAGTAAGATTGGATTATGTAAAAAATACGTAGTGTATCTACTCATTACAAATTAATGAGAATTAAAATGATGTAATAATTTTAACTGTATTAGTTTAGTGGCACAATATGGAGGTTTTAGGGGCTCTTCACCCCCTCCCCTTCAGAAACTATAAATAGAATATTAATATAGGTATTTAATTGATAACTATTTTTAAAAATAATTTTTGGGGGGCTGAACATTTTTCCAATTTGCTCAACTGCTATAGTTTATAATCAGTAATCACATTTGTTTCTTTTATGATTTTATATAATAGATAAACTAAAAATTCATATGTTTACACTGTATAATATATGTAAGGTTTTTTATTCACTTTTTAAAGTGGGTTCACTTAAACATATTGTTCTTTTTATTATTTACTTATATAATATTTGTGTATAGCTCAAAGATTGTTTTGAAAAAAAAATAATATTAATTGTAACATTACGCCAACTACTGATTATTTAGAAATTTGTCGACATATTAATATTTATGTATGGTTAAACAAATACTTTATAGGTTCTATTCGATTGTAAACTTCACTGACAGAATCATTTGAATTTATATTAATTCATAGAAATATGTTTTTAATTTTTTTAATATCTTACATAATTTTATGAGATTTTTATTAAATATTATTTAAATAGGTAGGTAGGTATTATTATATCTCTTAAAATGAAAAATACACTTAACTGTAGGAAAAAAAAACTTTAGATGTAATGTACGCTTTCTGCAGTAAAAAATGAAATGCTTAAAAAATCCTGACTTATGTTATTAACGACTCGGAGAAAAAAATATAAAGGTTTTAAAAACTATCCTCGAGGGACAAACACCAGATGTCATTTTAATCTCGAAAGAACCATCATTTTTATATCTGACAAATTGTTTACGCTCTATATGAAATAACCTTTAATCCGCTCTAAAAATGATCCAACAACCAAACCCATAGTAAGTCAACGTGGTCGTATTAAAGTCTTTCGTAATAAATTGACAAAAAAAAAAAAACGTTTGAAACATTTCTTAATAATTCACAAATCAAATAACTATTTTATACTTAGGACTCAAAATTTACCTTTTAAAAACTTTTATTGTAATTATCCCAATAAAAAATTTATAAAACTCAAATTAAAATATATTTTGCTAATAGAGATGAATTCAGTTTTAAAATTTCATTCAAAATCCAATAAAATGTTTTGTAAAAAAAGTATCATAACCACTTTCATCAAATCAATTAAAAACTTGTTACAAATTATTTGCCTCTTCATTTCTTAATCTTAAGTTTCCATATAGGGCAGATTTTTACAAATTCGATTTTATACTAATACAATCGGATTGAAATTTTTCATAGGTGAATGATACGAAATAGCGATAGATAATAACTAAATTATATTATGATGTTATTAAATTTAAATACATCGATTTTAAAAGTTGTCAGTTATAAAAAAAAATAATAGCAACGGAAATACAATTTTTTAAATATCGATTTTTTATTTATAAGGTTTTTATACTAACGTAGTATAGCTAATGTTTAAATCTTTAAAATACCTACTAACATATTACGTACATATAATCGTTTTTTATAACTTATAAAGATATAAAAAAATGTGGTGCATACATTTGATTACCGCCGAATCGCAAAATAATTTTATTGGTGATATTGAATTTTAACAGATGCGCGATATATTAATGCATCTGATAATTATTTTTACTCTCATTTTATGCGTTTTCTATTCTCGTCTATTCAGCGTACGATGAATGATAATAATATATGTGTATAATATGAAGACGTGTTATATATGCGTTACCGTTATATATTACAATGTGTATGGAAGAAACTTGTCATGCGAATAATTTACCTTGTCGTTGGTTGCAACGTCACCGCCAAAAACACACGACGATGGAGTTCGGTCTGTCGGGAAGAGTTGCAAAGCGGGCGGCGAGGTATTAACCTTTTCTGGATTTTGTTTTGTAAGATTAATGGCATTAACCCGGAGGATGATTAATTGAGTTCTCCCGACGGGGTAAGAAGTCTGCAGCATACACCCCCTTCCCCCCCTCTCTCTCACTCTCTCTTTATTCTCTCTCTCTCCGTGGCCCAAAAGACAACACTGCCACCGTTATTGTTTGGCAAACCCATTCGACTGCGTAGTCAGTCTTGTCCCACAGGATCCGTCACTTCGATTTATTTACCTTTACCGCCCTCAGTATACATTTCGGCCGTTTCTATCTTACATACACATCAGACATTATTATATTATTATGCTGTATAACCTATTTGTGCCCGGAAAACGTTCATAACTATACAACCAGTATTTTCGTCGTGTGAAACAATATATAGCGCTCAGGTTGTCATCACCTCTTGTTACTATCGTTCAGTTACCTACTGTACTATACTGTTGCAGTATATTTCGGATTCGTTCAGTCTTCCAACATATTTTGGCGAATAAGCCGTCGTCTGTCGTCTCTGCTCTGATATGTGCTCGGTGCCTACAGTGATTGTGCCAAAAATATTATGTTTCGTTTGGACTTGTGACCGTATTTATTAACTATTATATAACTATTAAAAATAAAGCAGCAAAGATTATTCGGATTACACATTTACACAATATGCACTTATAACGTACCAACAATAACGAATATATTTGTTAAATTGTATACTATTGTATTTAAATAGTTATATACGGTATACAATTAAACATGCAAATTTAGGTTTAATCAAAAGTCGTTAGTAGTTTCACCAATAAATATATGAGTAAAACAAATACGACCAATATAAACTGTTAAAATTGATTGACCTATCTTCAAAATTTCCAAAAATATATTTTCGAAAAAAGTTAATACTTGTTTGCTTAAAACCACCGCCCCTAAGCATAATTAATAACGTTTTCAGGGAGACATCTGTCATATGAAGTTAGAATACAACTTTCAAAAGTTTCAAATATCATTTAAATTGTTTTGAAATAACGGTTTGTCATTATGGCACGAAATCCATTGTACGAACCCATTAGTCTTAGACTATATATTTTATATATTGAAATATGGACTGAGGTTTCACAACACTTCACATTATAATATTATATTCAACCCTTTTCGAATCAAGCAAAATGTAATAATGACCTTTTCAGCGTGTATATAAGCCCCGGAGGAGTGATTATAATTTAATACTACTGCATTTATCGGTTTGAAATGTACAAGTAAATCAAATCGGTTTATGTAAATTCCCGCGTGTTTCGTAAATATTATAATAATAACATCCCAAACTCACGCTGTTCAGGTGGTATTATAATGATTGTACCCCAAATAATAATACAAAATACATATAAACTATTATGTGTAACGATTTTCATATTTCATAACATTATTTATTTATTTTATTTTAGCAAGACTGTCCAAATGGCCGTTTAACACCAGCGAAATTCGTGGACATGTACAAAATGTTCTTTCCAAGCGGTAATGCCGAAGAATTCTGCGATCACGTATTTCGGACATTTGATATGGATAAAAATGGTTACATAGACTTCAAAGTGAGTCAATAATATTTTACAAACTGTACCTTTATTATATACTATGTTAATATAATATCAGAATGCAATCGAAAAAAAACACCATTTCCTGAGTGGTTTTATTGAATTTTCCCATATGTCGCCCACCCGTTAAAGGTCGTCAAATGAACTTCACCCGGACCCCTTCCGATCGTTCAATGAAATATCAACTTTTTATTATTCATGAGGTCGCTCCCACCCATAAACCTGCAACCTAACCCTCACGCACCAAACAGGCGCCATTGAAAACCGTGCATTTCTATATCGGTTACAGGAGTTTCTATTAGCCATAGACGTCACGTCGTCCGGTACACCGGAGGAAAAACTAAAATGGGCATTCAGAATGTATGACGTGGACGGCAACGGAGTCATCGATATTCAAGAGATGACGAAAATCGTTCAGGTACAAACGTCTATTGATATGATAGGTACAATAACAAAACGTTACCTCATTTACTTGACCATTAAAACATGTATGTACCTTTTTACGTTTTATTTTTACTTATACATACTTCAATGGCGTGGTCATTAAAAAAAAATGTATTCACTAAAAGACAAGTCGTACAAATTATTTGTATTAAATCATTCAACCCGAAAAAGGAATATTATAAATCTTTCTTCCTGTTTTCGACCGTTAAACCTGGGAGTAAATATAGATATTGACACCGATTTTTCTTTTACATATTTGCAGGCCATCTACGATATGTTGGGTGCGTGTTCATCTAATCGTCCAGCTGACTCGGCAGAAGATCGGGCTAAAAATATATTCGCCAAAATGGATGAGAATAACGACGGACAGTTGACCCAGGACGAATTCCTTAAAGGCTGTTTACAGGACGAAGAGCTATCCAAGATGCTCGCGCCATAACCACTGCCACGGCTGGCGTGAAAGCCCAATATATAATATTATATTTCGCCGCATTTTTTTGTATATCTTTTTCTCTCGCCCCGTAGGGTACGCCTTTGTTGGTGCCAAAAAAAAAAACAAAACAAAACAAAACAAGTCAACCCGTTTTTTCTAAAAAAAAAAAATTTGAATCCAAAAAAAAATAACAAAAAAATTAAAAAAAAAAACGAATTGTTTTCTTATGGTTATATTTTCTCTAATAGGGTAATATTTATCTACGGTACATATGATTTAAATGCGCAGGTTGCCAGGTGGTACGCGTTTTACATCTCGTGGGGTGTCCGCCCCCTTTCTTCTTGGGTCGATTTGCATAGTATGGCGTAGTATATGTAAACACATCGGCAAACCTCCGAGGCCTTTTTCCGAGTAACGATTTCCCGAATCTCAAGTTAGCTTCCACTTCACCTGGTGACTTATTTGTGTAAATAATTTTCTGCACATTCCCATTTATTATTGTTTGTTTCTTTTTTATCATTACTATTATAATTACGACGACGGAGACTCAATTGAACTCTGTTAACCTGCTATGTTTTCATTTTAAACAGGTTTCAATCAGTGCAAAGTAAAGCTCAAAAATGAAAAAAAATATTATACAAAACTCGATTACGTTCACCGGATTTGAAAACTCCGTAAAAAAAAAAAAAAACAAAAACAAAAACCATTTTCGGGGTCATTTTTATAGTTTTACATCAATATAATAATGCTATTAAGGTAATTGGCTGTAAGAAAACACACAAAAAAATATATACAATAAAAAGGGAAAACCTTGGCTTAAACAATGGGGTTATTCCGAATAACTTCGGGTTCAAAAATCGTGTCATCGAGGTGGACCATTCGTGTATTAAAACTGACGGGAACTTTACGTTCAGAAATCAAAATCCTGCACAAATGTAATAATCGTGCGACGAAATCGTATTTATTATTATTATTATTATTGATTACCTTTGGCTAGTTCATTAAGCCGCTTGTAATTTTAAGATACATTCTCTTGGACCAATATATTTATATTATCTAATCACATTAATTTATAACTTAATTTCTTATCTATTTTTTTTCGTCGATGGTGCACATATTATATTGTTGGATTCCATTAGCAATAAATCGCAACCAAAGTGTCTGTTACCAAATTATGATATTATACGTTTACTTTTTATATTTATAATTATTATTTAATTAAACATATTATTATTATTATTATTATTATTATTGTTATCATTTCTATACCTGTTACTTCATTTAAATCATGCATATAATATGTGATGTGTATGTTATTATTATAGTGTACGGCCAAATATTAAACCATAAATTTTCATGTTATATTATTCAATTTAATTACTTTTAAAAATACGCGATTGTAAGTGTGAAACGCTTTTTTTTTTTTTTTACGAAAAAGGATACTTAATGTTTACGGTAACGCTTGACTTGGTTAAACTTTTTGTGTGTACAAAACCTGAGTAATTCAAGCATTACTATTTTTTATTTTTTTTCCATCTCGACATATCTTATAAAGTTATATTACTCTTCAGACAACGAAACATATTAAACCAAAAAATTATATAGGCAATTTGAGTACGTGTAATATTTTTGTAGCCATTTATTATATTTTATTCTATACATAATATATGTCACAACAATGTATTTTATTCTTGTTCACTATGTACGCGCGTACATTATTAATAATCTAGTAAAGTTTATACAAATTAAAAAAAAAACTTAGGGTTAATTATTAATCGAGAATTTTTCTATACACCAATTTGTATAATCCATTATTATTAATATTATTATTATTATTATTATTATTCTAATAATTATAGATGTTATATTATACACATAGTGTAAAAAAAAATCTGTGTCAAGTGTTGTCCTTAATAGTAATTTTAAAATCCAATGAACTATATTTTCTTTACTTATGTATGTGTGTAATGTGTATGAATATATATTATAATATAACATAATACATTATATTCATATTTATGTACGTACCTACATTTAGAATTAACAAGTCATAGTTATACATATTTTATAGTAAGTAACAATAATGTCTAGCTACTACTACATCAAACAGAACAACTTATTTTAATTATCTTATTTTATTTTATACAATACGTACATTTATTTGCGCACATTGTAAAAAATATTCAATGTGACAACTATTTTTATTTTTATTTGTTATACATAGGCTAAGTTTAAATTTAAATAGCTTAGACAATTAGTTCTTAAGGTTAGGAAATGTTACGTTTCTTTTCTGCTCTGAGCGCTGTGTATGGTTAACAGATGAATCAAAAACTAAAAATTTATTTCATTCTGATGTCTCAAACCAATGTGTTTTTCTTTACTTACCTTTGAGAAAACCATCCAATATGATAAACGAATACCTACTCTTTATGGTGTTCTTGATAGTACTGTCGATAAATCTGAACATTCTTATTAGTTATTATAATATACTTGTGTAATAAAACTGAATTATAACTTAACAGATTATGAGAATGAAAGCTTAATGGTACTCGACTACACATCTTATAATAAGATAAAAAAATGGGAAAACAAAACAGCAAGTTAAAGCCAGAGGTCTTGGAAGACCTAAGACAAAATACTGAATTTTCTGGTAAAATCAAATTTTTCATTAATGTCTATTAAAGTAACCATTGAATTTAATCATTTGCAGATGCGGAGATTCAAGAATGGTATAAAGGTTTTTTAAAGGATTGTCCAGGTGGTAATTTAAGTGTTGAAGAGTTTAAGAAAATTTATGGAAATTTCTTTCCCTACGGTGACGCGTCTAAAGTAAATTAGTTTTAAGAAAGTAAAAGATATCTCATTTAAATGACGCCTAAAATAGTTTGCAGAGCATGTATTTCGAACATTTGATGCCAACAGTGATGGAACAATAGATTTCAGGGAATTCCTTTGTGCTCTGTCAGTCACATCGCGTGGAAAGTTGGAACAAAAATTGAAATGGGCATTCAGCATGTACGACCTGGATGGCAATGGGTTCATTTCACGACAAGAGATGTTGGAAATTGTTACGGTGAATTTTTGATGTTCCAAATAGTAGTGATAATAGTTATAATTTATGAATTATATTTATTTATTATGGTGTGTATATACAGGCCATTTATAAGATGGTAGGCACCGTAATGAAGATGCCTGAGGATGAATCGACGCCAGAGAAGAGGACAGATAAAATTTTTAGGCAGATGGACAAGAACAATGATGGCCGACTATCGTTGGAGGAGTTTATCGAAGGTGCCAAAAGTGATCCGTCTATCGTTCGACTGTTGCAGTGTAACCATGCCGTCCAGTAGGGCTTTGCAATGTGCATTTCACTGAATTTGCCAGCCTTTTAACTAAAGTCTCATAATGTTTGGACTTCTCTTTTTTTTTGTCTTTAACTTTCTTTAATTTTAAATCTCTAATAGATTAATTCTTCTACAAAAAAGCTTCAATCAAACATCAATACGTGTGCTCTAATTTTTAATGCTTATGAAGTTTTACAAAATATAATATTAAAATCTGAAAATTGCATAGGTACTATTTCAATCAATAATAAAATAATAATTCATCACAGATACATGTGGTGTTAAGAAACACGTGTTGATGATTTAAGATAAAACAAATTAATTGTTTTTACTGTGATATAATAATCTTAAATTTTTTTCAATTTTGATCTATTTTATCCATACAATGTGTTATTATTATTGTATTTGTTGGACGAAAATATTTTATTATCCTATTAAAATTTTTTTGTTTTCATAATATTAATAATATTTAATTGTAATTTTTGCTTGTATTATTTAAATCTAGAGATGTGTGATGATTGTAAGACCAAATCCCAAAATGTACATTTAAATTTTATAACTTCATACGTAGAAGGTTATATTTAAATTAATAATGATTTTGATTTTTATTAATCAAATTATTCAAGTATGTGTCATATTGTAAAAAATAAAAGAATGTAGAAAAATATAAATTCGCACATCTCTTTATTTATTTATTTACAACCATAATTTTACCACCACCGTGGTATTTTGATTTAATAATGTATAATAATTGTTATGTATTCCCAAAAATAACAAAAATTCATAAAACCAACAAATATTTTTGTAGGGTTCCTATATCTAGTCTTTGTTTACTGTTCTAATATTATCATAGTAAATACTGATGAGTTGCCTATAACCTATATAATAATTAAACATTTTTTTTTTTAAATTACTTTCCTAAGGGCTTGTCAATTTTTTTCATTTAAAAGGGAGTATATTATATTAACTTATTGTTATTTAAGATTTAATAGTTTAACTCGTAATATTGTTAAAAAAAAACCCCCAAAGTAAGAGGATTGTGTTATTGTTTGAGTTGTTATTCGTTTCAAAAGTATATTTTTTTAACTTGGCTTGAGCCCGACTCTTAGAAATGTGCCGTTGTATATATACGTGCTCAAATCTATTTCCACATCCTCGGTGCTATTCATGTTTAATAGTAAACCTGTACGTAACACTTACAAACCCTTCCATTATTTTGTTAATTCTAAACCGCGACCAGACACATATTTATGTTAGTATGATTTAAATTAATAATTATATAATTTAAATATATTTTGTATATTTTTTCTAAACTATTGGCTTACGGTTTTGGTCCATACATATTATACACTAAGGGGGACGAGGTGGCCGAGCGGTCTAACGCGTCGACTGCGGCGCTGGCAGTCGCGGGTTCGCCTCTCGACCACTGGGCGGCATTTTTCTCCGGGCAAGTCACGGTGTCCGGAGTACAAGTGCCGCCATCCCCCAACCCGGGGCATGGCAGAAACCTGCGGGTGCCCCAATAAAAATTCTGCCACCACAAACACACACGTGTACCAACCTACCCAATCTAAAAAAAAAAAAAAAACCTACAGTTCCCTACCAACACCCAATGGCCTATGTTGCCGCGGGTTATCCAATAAAAAAAAAAAAAAAAATTATACACTAATCATAATATGGTAATTTTAAATTTTTTCAATGTTATTCAACTGTATAATTTTGTTATGAATAATGTGTTAAATGTGCATGAATATCTTTGTATTTAAACATGTATACCAAAAAATGATTATTTTCCGCCTCCATTAGTAAAATAAGTAAAAACAAAGAAAATACAGAGAACCATCCGACATAATATGCGTCTTTCCGCCCAATATAATATTATGTCAAACATTAAAATTTTACATATTTGCTCAAGCGTCAGTCATGTGTCAAAATGTCCTCTTCCTTGTACCTCTTACTCTTCCATTTACATCTACTCATTTTCTTGCCAACAACTGTGCATCACATTTTTCACACATTTTACACACATAAATTTGGATGTATAAAATGTATAAAGTTGGGAAAATTGTACGAACGGTATAAAATGCCTCAAACATTCTGTTTGTATACATAAACGCGGCATAGATTAGTTATTGTAGTACAAATCTTACAAATAATATGTTATAGGGTTATACCGATAATATATTTTTTTCTTTTATTGTCCACCATATTATATATTATATTATATTATATTATATTATATTTATATCATATTATATTATATTATATTATCAGCTGTGTAAAGAAACATACAATTAAAAAAAAAAAAAAAATGTTTAAATTATATATTTCATACTTATACATATACATATTATTTAGTTACAAATAAATCAAACCGTATGTGTGTAAAAGTCTTAATATTTTATTGCAATTTGCAAACTAGACGTGTTCCATACAAATCAAAAAGTAAAATAAATATAATGGCCCCTGCAAATGTGTCATTTTTAAGGAGTTGTGTTTAGGCAATTATTTCGTTCCTGTGATTTCTGATCGTCTGTGTGTGTAGTAAATGATCATCAGTGATTAGTGTGTGTATACTCCCCCAGCGGCTTATTTAGGGGGGGAATTTGGGGGATCGATCCCCCTTGGTATTTTTTTTGCTATTATTAAAGGAATCAAGTATACATATATAGACACCGAATCGTCAATCGTTTTAGTATTTACTATGTATTTTTCATTTTTGTAAATACAGTTAGAAAAAAATCAATTATGTATAAGGTTATTAGTAGACTGTTATTATTACGCCACTGAAACTGTGCAATGTCCTAAATGGTGCGTTTCCTGTATAATATGCGAGTTGCACTCGACGTACCAGCTAGACACGGCTGTAGTACTGTACAGTTGTAAATTTGTAAAATAAAAACAAGATATATTAAGACTAAAATACCACAATCAACATATTAAATTATGGTATTGTCTTACGATAGTATTTTACACGTAATCACTAATCAGTCCGGTGAAGTCCGCAGGGGGGGTTACAATTTTCATAAATTATCCGTAATTTTTGGGTAAAAGTATGAACTACTTGTATGAAATACCTTGTATTAAATTGTCTAGCCTTACCTATACATATTTTATATTTTATAAGTTTTGAACTACAAATTAACTGTGGTTTTGATGAAATTTGAAAAATATTAACTTAACTCAGTTTAAAAAAAGTTATAATCTATTTTTTTTTTTTAATTAGTATGTAAATTACATAAAGAGTGAATGTGTTCATAAGTTGATTAGAAAATATGCTAACTAGTTAAGTTAAAAAAAAATTAACTTTTAAACTATAGTTAATGCCCACCTTTGTGATTTTGTATAATAATTGTAAATATTATAAAAAAGATTATGAAGTGAAGTATTTAGATGCTTTTAAATGGCAGTGTATACATAAAAAGTCTACTACGAAACGGTATGTATAGATCAAACATTAAAGAACTTTTTGAAAGATGAAAATATACATAATGTCAACCATCACGAAGAATCAAGAAACCACATCAAGTAGGTAGGTATATAAAAAAATAATACTCTAATGGAATTAAACGAAAATTGGAAAACGAATTGGAAAGGTCTTCAAAAATCATCAATATAGGCATTTTAACTAATCCAGAACTTACAAAAACGTTTACAGGTAGGTACAGATATTAATTTAATATTTGGCCATGGTATATAGGTAAAAAATATTTTTAAACAGAAATTAAAATTGGCCAAAGTTGACTTTTTGAACTTCTGGAAATACTAAATAGGAAGTCCATCAATGTTAACTCCTAATTTTAATGTTTTACTGATATGGCATTTAATATGTTCACTAAAATATATTAAAATAGGTTGTAACATGTTTTTTAATCCTAAATGTGTGTAGGTTCCATTGGGAATATTAGAAATTTCATGAATTTTAGGTGTTTTCATTAGAGTTTGTACCTACATCATTAGGCAAGGGTAAACCTTCAAGTTTCAACATTTAGTATACTTAATACAATTATTTACACAGTTGTGTGGTAGGTACTTTAAAATTCAGTACCCACACAAGAATACAAGATCGTAGTTTTTTCTACATTGTTATAAAAATAAAAGTCAAAAGTTATTTAATTTAATTATATTGTTTCACTCAATCGATCTTAAAATTAAATACAATATTTTTATTTATTAAGTAATTTACAAATTGTCTTTGTAAAAAATATAAGTATTAAAAATTAATCTAAATAATATTATAAAAACATGCGATAAATAATGACGTTTTCTTTAATGTCTTACATCTTATTCTTTAAACTTGAAACCAATTATTTTATGTTTAAATGTTTATACATGGAAAAAAAATTTAAAATAGTGCTTTCTACAAAAAAAAAAAACCATGCATTGAACATTTATATAATGATTTGAACGATGATTTTTAAGTTCACTTATTTGAAACATATGAAAAAATATTATCAAAAGTATAGTTACATAAATTATATTGGGTATACAATGTAGTTTTGTTTTTTTTATTGAGTCAGAAATATATACATATTGACAGAAAATAACATATTAATAAAAAAATATTAAATCGATTTATGTCTCGTTTTCGAGGACCTACTCCTGAAGTCCTGAGTCCTGTAATTCGGGCCCCGGCGTACTCATTTCTCCTCGGGGCCGGCGTACTCATTTCTCCTCGGGGCCGGCGGGTAGACCCTCGAAGTCTGGGCCACACAAGATGTCCGGCAGGTCGGTGGCTTCCGAACGACGGCCGAAACGGGAGTCCAGCTCATCTCTGTGGGCTGTACCACGTTTGGGTACAGTAGACCCTAAAAGCAACACGTTTGGGTACAAATGAATACACCATATCTCTAGAAAAATAACACGTTTGGGTACATAGGACGTAGGTATTAATATAACATTTAGAAACACCTAGAAAGAACACCTATTAGGTAGTGCTTATTTAATTCTTTGTCATTTTTAATACGACGAAACCAGGCTTGAGTGAAAACGACAACCTACCACTT